GTGGAGCAAACACCTTCTTCATGATCTTGGGCAGGAGGAATTGGCACTTATAAAACCATCAGATCTCGTGAGAACTCCCATCAGATCTCGTGAGAACTCCCTATCATGAGAACAGCACGGGGGACGCCACCTCCATGATTCAATCACCTCCCACCAGGTCCCTCCCCTGACACCTGGGGATTATGATTCAGATTACAATTCGAGATGAGATTTGGGTGGGGACACAGCCAAACCATATCATCCCCAGAAGCTTCCCTGTGCCCCTGTCACCCCATCCTCGCCCACCCTCATCCCCAGGCAACCTCGGATCTGCTGTCAGGGTAGATTCAAGTTTTTTTTTTGAGACAGGATCTCACTCTATTGCCCAGGCTGGAGCGCAGAAGTGCAATCATGGCTCACTGCAGCCTCAACCTCCTGGGTTAAGTGTTCCTCCCACCTCAGCCCCCTGAATAGGGACTACAGGAGCTCACCACCACACCTCATTAATTAATTATTATTATTTTTGAGACAGAGTCTTGCTCTGTTGCCCAGTCTGGATCTCGGCTCACTGCAACCTCCCCCTCCTAGGTTCAAGCAATTCTCCTGCCTCAGCCTCCCGAGTAGCTGGGATTACAGGTGTGCACCATCATGCCTGGCTATTTTTTTTGTATTTTTAGTAGGGACAGGGTTTCACCATGTTGATCAGGCTGGTCTTGAACCCCTGACCTCAATCCACTCGCCTCAGACTCCCAAAGTGCTGGGAGTACGGGTATGAGCTATTGCACCTGGCCTGAGATTTTGCCTTTTCTAGGATTTCATCAAGGATAGAATTATATGCAGTATTTGGTCGGGCATGGTGGCTCACGCTTGTAATCCCAGCACTTTGGGAGGCCGAGGTGGGCGGATCACGAGGTCAGGAGATCGAGACCACGGTGAAACCCCGTCTCTACTAAAACTACAAAAAAATTAGCCAGGCGCGGTGGCGGGCCCCTGTAGTCCCAGCTACTCGGGAGGCTGAGGCAGGAGAATGGCGTGAACCTGGGAGGCGGAGCTTGCAGTGAGCCAAGATCATGCCACTGCACTCTAGCCTGGGTGACAGTGAGACTCTGTCTCAAAAAAAAAATTATATGTAGCATTTTTTGTTGGCTTTTTTTTATTGGCTTTTTTTTTTTTTCCTCAGGGTAACGTTTCTGAGACCCATTCATGTTGCATGTGTCAGTAATTCTTTCCTTTTTATTGCTGTTGAACATTCCCTCATGAGGCTGTATCATGGTGTTTATCCATTCTACCTGTTGATATTTGGGTTGTTTCTAAAATTCAGCAATTATAAATCAAGCTGCCATGAGCATTCGTGCACAAGTGTTTGTGAGGCATGCTTTCATGCCTCTTGGGTAAGTGCCTAGACCATGGAATGGCTGGGTCGAAGGCAGGTGTGGGTTTAACATTTTAAGAAACCCGCCGGGTGCTGTGGCTCACCCTTGTAATCCCAGCACTTTGAGAGGCCGAGGTGGCTGGATCACCTGAGGTCAGGAGCTCGAGACCAGCCTGACCAATATGAAACCCTCGTCTCTACTAAAAATACAAAAATCAGCTGGGCATGGTGGCAAACGCCTGTAATCCCAGCTACTCAGGAGGCTAAGGCAGGAGAATCGCTTGAACCTGGGAGGCAGAGGTTACAGTGAGCCAAGATGGCACCACTGCACTCCAGCCTGGGCAACAAGAGCAAAACTCTGCCCAAAACAAAAAACAAAAAACAAAACCCAAAAACAAACAACACAAAAAAACACCCACCAGGGCTGATATTTTTGAAATCACTGAGACAGAAAGTAACAAGGGTGGCTCCGGCGTGTGCTGTTACTGAGGCTGGGGCCAGGAGGCTCAGTGTGGTGAGCAGTGCCCCGTGGGGGAGCAGGACTAGACATGCTTACTGTGCCCAAGTCAGCATGCTCCTCTGAGATCTCAGGTGGTCTTGAGCAAGAGCTGAGTGCCCCACCATTGGAGACGTTAGGGACCAGCAAATGGGACATCCACAGGCTGCAGCATCTAGAGATGACAGAGTCAGGGGCAGAGTGTTCAGACAGGGCTGCAGGTGACAGTCAAGGACAGAGCACAGAGCGGCTGCAGGTGACAGGTCAGGGACTAGGTACACGGCTGGAGCTGCAGGTGACAGTCATGGGCCAGATGCACAGGCGGGGCTGCAGGTGACAGGGACCTGGTGGACAAATAGGACTGCAGATGACATTGAGGGATCAAGTACACATATGGGGCTTCAGGTGACATGGGCGGACTGAGTGCAGAGAAGCGTCTGGGGATGTCAGCATCAGGGACTGGGGGACACAGCTGCTTCGTCAGAAGACAGTGACAGTGCCTGAATAGGAACACCGGGCCTCAAGAGCTCAACCAGGGCAGGTGCCTCCTGGCGACAGGGCCAGGCCTGGAGCTGGGAGGAATCCAAGACAGCCTGGCCTACCAGGCACGGGCCCATCCAGAAAGGAAACAGCACCGCTAGTTAACAAAGAACTTTATTATTTCTAATAAATGGTGCTGAGGGTGGGGTCTGGAGAGGGCACACAGCTGTCCCCTGTCAATGCGTTGAGGCCCACACTCCTTGGGAGGGGACAGGGGAAGCCCCATGTTCCCCGGAGCCTGTCGCCCTGGCCTGCAGCCCTGGATGCCTCTCACGGAGCCGCAGGTCTTCCTCCCCGGCTTTCTGGTCGCGTGGCCACCACAGCCCCATTATTACAGCCAGAGCCCGGGGCCAGGTGTGAGTCGGCCTGCAGCTCTCCGTCTCCGCCAGCCTGGACTCCTGGGAAAGGGGATAAAAGGGGGGCTTCCTGGTGCTGGCTAGAAAGCGTGATGCTCTCCAGCCAGGCAGCCCCCTGGTCCTCTGTGCTGTAGCTGTGCCTGGGGGGGCATCGGGGACGCTGTCCCTGTCCCGCAGCAGGTGCCCTGGGGGTTCCAGGTGTGTGGCCGGCCTCAAGCCAAGGGACCCAGCAGGCCCACCCCGTGTTCTCCACCCTCTGACCCTCGGGGCCCAGCCAGTCACCCTCCCACCCCTGTCTGGTCCCGTCCTTATCCAGGTCCCTGTGCTGGGTCTGTAGTGCCTCATCTTTGTCTCCGTCTCTTCCTTTCTCCGGGTCCCTGACTTCCTCTCTTCCCGTCCATCCCCCCGCCCCCAGTCCCCTTCCCCGCCCCTCCCCTGCAGCTTGGGGCGATTGAAACCTTGAAGCAGGTTCTGAAGGCCTTCCTGGGTGTTAGCATCTGGGAGGGGAGCGGCCTTGGCGGTGGGGACCGGGGCGGCCGGGAGCAGCAGCAGCAGCAGCAACAGCGGGGGCCACATGGCCTGCGGGCCGGGCGGCTGTGGGGGGACAAGGTGGGCGTTAGAAGCCCCGCCCCCTCTCCACGCCCTTTCCTCTCTGCCCTCTCACTTCTGCGTGCCAGGCTTGCACATCCAGCACCCTTCACCTGCCACCACGGCCCGCCTGTGTCTCTCGAGCAGCCCTGAGTCAGCCCACAGACCGGTCACCGGTCTCCGGCTCCCCAGGGATTGTTAGATCCAGACAGTTCTGCCCCAGAGCTGCCCTGGAGCTCGGACGCCTACACGAGCCAGAGCCACGCCCCCGCGTGCTGGCCACGCCCTCGAGCTCAAGCCATGCCCACCAACTGTTAACGCTTCACCCAAGCCCCTACGCAATGACCACGCCCCCACACATAGCCACACCCATTCCCGGCCACGCCCCCAGAGTCCCGCAGAGTCTCCACTCACCAGCCATGCCCCCACTGCAAAAGGCCACGCCCCTGAGCACGGCCCTGGAGACCCACGCGGGCCTGGCCCTCTTCTGTGATCCCCAGCCCAGCCCCAGTGCAACGGCCCGGGCCCCCGAGTTGAGCCTCATCCAGCATCCGGGCCAGCCTCTGCCACCCTCAGCATGGAACACAGTCGTTTCGGGTCCCTCACTCCTGTTCATTCTCCATTTTTCTTGAACATATGGGGAATATTCATAGTAGCTGTTTTAAGGTCCGGATCACTAATTCCATCATCTATGCCACTTCTGGGTCTTTATTTTTCTACTCATTATGGGTTCTGTTTTTCTGCTTCTTTGCATGCCTGTTTTTTTGCTTTTGTGTTTTCGAGACACGGTCTCACTGTTGCCCGAGCTGGAATGCAGTGGCATGATCATAGCTCACTGTTAATTCCTGGGCTCAAGCGATCCTCCTATCTCAGCCTCCTGAGTAGCTGGAACCACAGGTGCACGCAGCCATGCCCAGTTAATTTTTAAAATTATCTTTTGTAGAGATGGAGTCTCACTCTGTTGCCCAGGCAGGTCTTGAACTCCAGGCCTCAAGAGATCCTCTTACCTCAGTCTCCCAAACATTACCAATATATTCTTATTTCTTTGAGAATCTTTAGTATAGGTGGTACAGTTTTTTCTTTGGTGATTGAGTTCCTCAAATGTCTGGTTATTTTTGTCAGAACTCATTTTCTTCAGGGAAGTGCTGCAATCTTGACTGGAAAGAAAAACCAATCACATAGCTACTTCCTGGTTGGGAGGTTAACCCCATTTCTGCTTCTTAGAAGGGTTTTATAGAGGATGTTGGCTGGGCTCAATGGCTCACGTCTGTAATCCCAGCACTTTGGGAGGTCAAGGCAGGTGGACCACCTGAGGTCAGGAGTTTGAGACCAGCCTGGTCAACATGGTGAAACCCCATCTCTACTAAAAATACAAAAATTAGGGCCGGGCGCGGTGGCTCATGCCTGTAATCCCAGCACTTTGGGAGGCCGAGGTGGGCGGATCACGAGGTCAGGAGATGAGACCATCCTGGCTAACACGGTGAAACCCCGTCTCGGCTAAAAATACAAAAAAATTAGCCAGGCGTGCTGGGGCGGGCGCCTGTAGTCCCAACCACTGGGGAGGCTGAGACAGGAGAATGGCGTGAACCCGGGAGGCGGAGCTTGCAGTGACCCGAGATTGCGCCGCTGCACTCCAGCCTGGGCGACAGAGCCAAACTCCGTGTCAAAAAACAAACAAAATAAATAGAGAAGGGGCCTGGCTGTGCTGCCCAGGGTGGTCTTGAACTCCTCAGCTCAAGATCCTCCCATCTCAGCCTCCCAAAGTGCTGGGATTACAGGTGTGCCTGGCCTGCTTCCCTTCTTTGAAGAGCTTGGCTTCCTCATATCTGGACATAATTTAGGATGGAATAAGGAACAGTGGATGAATTTTTGGCCTCAGGTATAAAGAAGTAGTCTTGCGTTTGTATCTTTTGACATAAAGACAAAATTGAAAAGTTCGCCAACCCCAAGCCAAGCACCAGCAAATATGGGCGTGGGTGGAGAAAATCTCCTGTGAAATGGGCACTTCTGGTGGGGGTGAAGGGTGAGCCCCTGCCTTGCTTAACACTGCCTGGTAGTTCTGCCCAAAGGACTGAGAGAGCAAAGTGAGCCACTGTGGGGGAATCACACCCCCAAGTCGCAACCAACTCCCAGATTCCCCCTCCTTCGCAAAGCATTAGTCACCTGTTCACACTTCAGCTTAACCCTCAACGAGTAGGGTGGAATGAAAAGCACACGGCCGGGCGAGGTGGCTCACTCCTGGAATCCCAGGACCTTGGAAGGCCAAGTTGGGTGGACCACTTGAGCCCAGGAGTTTGAGTCCAGCAACACAGCAAGACCCCGTCTGTATGAAAAAATAAATAAATAAATAAATTAAAAAATTAGCCAGGTGTGGTGGCATGCACCTGTAGTCCCAGCTACTCAGGAGGCTGAGGTGGGAGGATCATTTGAGCCCAGGAAGGCGGGGCTGCAGTGAGCTGTGATTGCACCACTGCACTGCAGGCTATGGTGAGAACCTGACTCTTAAAAAAAAAAAAAAAAAAAAAAAAAAAAAAAAAAAAAAAAAGGCCTCCCCACCAAAAAAAATTAGGCACACATAGTCTATGCCATCCAATGTCACGTCCTTTTTGCTGTGCTTTTACAAGCTCAGCCAGCCCCCAAAGTGTTTTTTTTTAATGGTGCAAAGTCTTCGTGACCTGTTTCTTTCATTCACTTACATCTGTGCTGTTAATTGTGTAACTGAGATTTCCTCAAAGGTTTAACTGAATACTTTTTAAATAATTTTCCATCAAATCAAACTCAGCATTATATTCATTCACTGCCAAGAAAGGTCACCTCTAAGGTAAAAGTTAAGATGAATCCCGAATTTAGAAATGCGGAAGAACAGTTTAGGGAAATATGAAACGTTACATATTAGCTTCTTTATTGAAGAGGCAGCTCAGACCCATTTATATATGCAAAAGTATAGGATGACAAAGTATGTAATGACTCTTTAACCTTCTCAAACATTTCACTTAAAATATACATTATGCTAAGCCTTAAGGACAGCATAGGAAATCTTAGTAGTTGCCATCAAAATTACTATAAATATGTATTTTCTGCACAGAATTATGCAAAATCTACCATTTAATTCCTGTTATGCAGCATATTCATACACATCTAGAAAAATCTGAGTAGAGTGACGAGTAACAAATGTTAGCCATTTGTGATTTTAAAAAACTTTTATGGAAAGTGTAACACACATGCAGAAAAATACACATACCTTAAGTGCACAGCTCAGAACACACTCAGATATTTAGCACCCAGGTTTAGAAACAGATTATTCCCAGCACCAGATAAATGCCCCCTTTCAGCCTTGGCCAAGACTAACCGCTATCCTAATTTCAAACCACATAGACAAGTTTTGCCCGTCTTTATAATTTATACAGAAGGAATCATACAGCATGTTGGCTTTTGTGTCTGGAGTCTTTCATTTAGCAAGGTTTGTTAAGTTCAGCTACATTATTGCATGAACTTCTAGTTCATTCGTGCTGTTTTACAGTATTCCATGGAAATAATGCCACTTGTTTATTCATTCCATTGCAATGTGCCTTAAGATAGTTCTGTTTTGTGCAGTTTTATGCTATATATATTCTGCGTATCCTTTGGTGGAGACACATGCCTTTTTGCTGGGTTTGGGTAAAAGGGTATACTTGGTTTTAAGTGCCAGCTTTCAAAAATGGTTTTATGGATGAGCAATTCCACCAGTAGCGTACAGTTCCTCTTGCTTACATCCTTGCCAAAAGGATGCTTTTTTATGCTTTTCATTTTAACCATTTCCATGGATGGGTAGCAGTACTACATGGTGTTTTAAATTTGCATTTCCCTGATTACTAATAAAGCTAACATCTTTTCATGCTTAGTGGCCGTCTGGATATCCTCTAAAGTGAGTGGATATCCTCTAAAATATTTTGCCTTTTCCATTTTCCCCCTTGATTTGTAGGTGCTCTTTACATATTCGAGATCAGGGGCCAGAAAACTATGAGTGCAGACCAAATCCAGACTGCCACCTGGGTTTATGAATGGTTTTACTGGGAAGCAGTCATGCTCATTTTTAAAAATGCATGGTGTATGGATGCTTTCACACAATAGCAAAGATAAGCATTTGTGACAAAGCCAAAAATGTTCACCATCTGGTACCTTGCTAAAAAGTTTGCCAACACTTTTGCTATACTCAGTGCTGTTGTCACATACATGAACTGCAAATATCTTTTCCTCCTCATGGTTTCCTGTTCATTTTCTTACTGGTGGTCTTTCTGATAAACAGAAGTTCTCAAACTTACTATTAAGTTCTATTTTATGGGTTAATGCTTTTTTGGGTCTCAATAAACCTTTGCTTACTCCAAGATTACAAACTGTCCAAGATTTCTTTGTAAAGCTTTCACATTTCATATTCAGATTTGCAATCCACCTTCAACTGACTTTTTATTAAATTACAAAATTTAATTGGCAAAGCACATTTACTGGAAAGAACACCCTTTCCCCCACTACACTTCAATGTCACCTTTCTCAAAAGTCAGGTGATGGTATACATGTGGGTCTACTTTTGAATCTGTATGCTATTCCACTAGTCAGTTTTTTCATCCTTGTGCCCAAAATAACACCATCATAATTTATGTGGCTTTATAACAGGTCTTGATATTTGGAAATTTCAATCCTTTCTGTCCATTCTACAAGATAGCTTTGACAATTATTGGCCTTTTGAATATGCATATGAATTCTAGAATTAGCTTGTTTATTTACATTAAAGAATTTGCTAGGATTTTAATTAAGGTTGCAATGAATTTAGGGAAAAAGCAACGGTTTTGAGATTGTCCTGGAATCCTATCCCTCTCCTCCTTTGTAATTTTCTTTTCTGGATACAGTTCTTCAAACTGTATTCTTATTAACTCATTTTTCCCCCCTAGGCACTTGAGGGATCTTTTAAGTGGCACTGCTTTTCAAAATTTCATTTTCCATGATTTTTGCTGGTATATCATAAAATGCTTTTTGCATAACTTTTATGCAGGGAACTTACCAAATTTACTCATGGCATCTGCAAATAGAGATTTATATTTTTTCTTTTTTTAAAATTTTACTTCTTTTCTAATCTTTATGCCTTTTGTTTCTGTTTCTTGCATTAGTTTTCTGGTTAGGTCCTTCTGAACAATGCTGAATAAAATCATTGACAGCAGATATCCTTGTCTTATTTTTATAATCTTAGGAGAAATGTTCACTATTTCATCGTACTGTTTGTTGAAGTCTGTTTATGCAATTAAGGAAGTCCCTTTCAATCCATCATTTGCTAAGATCATAAATGAACA